GCGGGGGGCGCGGTGCTGCCGGGAGTGCCAGCCATTGGCAGCCTGGGTATTTTTTTCCTTGCTTGACAGTGCTGCCTCTTGTGCAGGAGGCTGAGAGGTGCGAGACAGCTTGAAGCCACCTTGCCCTGCCGCTGAGACGCCCCACCTTGGTCCTGACCCTCTAGGACACAAGGGACCCAAACCGGGTGCTTGTGCCAGCACAGGCACTGGGATTTTTCCGTCATCAGATGCTCACGCTTCTGGCAGGTTCAGGATCAAAGAAGAAATCAGCTCGGACCAGATACTGTCGGACGCCAAGGAGTGGGAAAAAGTGATGCTGCTGGGCCTGTGGCCTCAAGCTGGTTTTTGGGGCAGGGTGAAAGCGAGGAGAGGAGCTGGTGGACCTGAAATGCTAATTCCTTCCAGCTGTTGTCAGTCTGGCAGGTTCTCAAAGGAAGTTTAATGGACTGCAATCGTCTCCCCTCGGCCCGTCCCCCCACCGCCGCGCTGTGCGCAGGCAGCCCAGCAGAACCTGGGATTACATGAGCCGCTGTGTCTTCCAAGGACCTAGTTTTATTTTTTCCCCTTTGGCTCTGAAAGTGTTTTCTTGCGTGTGTGTGTGTACGCACGCACATGTGCAATGCCTTTCTCTCACTCCCCCCCAGCAAAACCTGTCCCTTCGATCGCAGGGAATTAGAAGGGACGGGCAGGGTTGTACCGGGCTGGGAGCGTGGGGCAAGAGCAGGAGCAGGAGCAGGAGCAGGCGGTGAGGAGGAGGAGGAGGAGACGGCTTCGTGGGCCTCCTTGCTGGAGTGCTCCCCACTCCGCCATGTGAACTGGGAGGAAACAGGATGAGGAAAGTATTTGGAGTGGAAAATAAAAATCCCTTCTCTTGCTTTATTGATTGTGATTGTGGACAGAAATAGCTCGGGCTGTTGAAAGCAGTCCCCCACCGAAGGAGCAGAGGCACGTCCAAGCTGCTCAGATGCAGGGCTCAGACCATACAGCATCCTCCTGCTGCCCGCAGCACACGGAGACAGAGGGTGCCCAGAAGCCTCAGGGCCATGGGGCGAGCCAGCCCCGAAGCAGGAGGGTTTCCCACCTGCCTGCCAGGGCTCCTGCATAGTTTCCAAGCCTGGTGGTGTGCACCTCGCTATACGCTGGCTGCATCTCTAGACATGCTCAGCATGGGAGCCCAGCAGCACAGACGCGGCCCTGGCAGTCTATTAGCAATTAGACAATCAGCTCCCATCAGTGATACATCCCATGCCCCATCCATAACGAATCGCCAGCAGAGAGCATCGGGCGAGCAGCAGCGATGCACTGCCCATCCCGGGGAGGCAGACCCGTGTCGCTCCGGGGGGACCTGGCCACTAAGCGGCTTTAACAGCAACAACGGAGCAACGCTGGTTTAGGCAGCTGGACCATTTAATGAATTTTAACCAGTTTCATTGAATTGTTTCACTTAAGACACCTAGCGAGGGGCCAGGGAAGGAGGGCAGCCGAGCCCAGGGTGCCCAGCATGGCCCAGCCTGTGGGGCCAGCAGCCACATGGGCATGGGGCTATGGCTCTGGGCTCCGAGAGCGCCGTAAAAACCAAGTGCTGGCAGGAGAGTAATTAGTTAAAACCGAGCACATCTGTTGTTAATTAATTCCCAGGCAGGAGGGTTTAACTCTTGCCTTCCCCAGTGGTTTGCAAAGTGGCTGGCCAGCATCAGCTTGCATCCAGAGGAAGGCTTGAACTTGGCTTTTCGAACCCTTTCCAGGAACTCGAGTTGTTGTGGTCTGTCATTCCCTGCTCTGGTCCATCATTCCCACATCCCAGAGCCATCCCTCTGATTTTCAGGAGCACCGGGATGTGAGCAGAGCAGCCAGCACTGCTCAGGGCAGCAAATGTGCCCCAGGCTTGGGGCAAGGGCTGAAAAACTCTGGCTTTGCCCCTGCCAGTGTCCAGCCCCAAGGTGGAGAAGGTGGGACTTCTCCGAGGGCAGCTTTGCAGAGCATCACTCTGCAGGGCTGAGCCGCACTTTTGGTAGCCCTGCACCGGCAACTGCTATTTTATTTGTATTTTTGAAGGCAGCCATCGCTAAAGTACGTCCGTAGGCGTGGATATCACATACATTCAGCAGTACATCATGCGCCGCGAAGAGCCCGGCTCTGCTCCCCACCTCCCCGCTCCGCCTTGCCCGTGAGTTTCAAGCCGCAGCGGGTGGACAGAGCTGCTGCGAGGGGACCTGGTCCCTTGGGAGCAGCGTTCAAAGGGCATCTGATGCTGAAGCAAAATGGGGGAGAGGTGAGGGGGAGCACGCCGGGACACAAGCACGCACGGCACGGCCAGCCTGCAGGGCCCTCCCGCGCTGGGGGAATCTGTTCCCCATTAAGCAACTCCAGCAGCGTTCGCTACCCCGGCTCGCGGGGAGAGCAGCTCTGCCAGCTCCAGCCTCCCTAATTAGCACCACAAGTGAGGCCAGGCTGGGGAAGGCCAGCGCCTCCGTCTCTCCTTGCCAAGGATGCAAAGGGTTTGGAGCAGAGCCCCAGCCAGGGCCCATGGAAAAGCTTCCACTGACCCTGCGAGCGCTGGCTGGGGCCCCGGTCCCGTCCGTCCCAGGGTGGGCAGCGATGTGCATCCCCTGCCCGGCTCCCTGCTCCGGGGCTCAGCTGGGGCAGCTATGAGGGCTGAAAGCCCCGATCCACTGCCCCAAGCCCTCCCCGCCACGTGTGGGCTGGGGCAAGGCTGCCCGTACCATCCTCTTCTCCTCCATGCACTTGCACTGCACCCGGTTCTGACCGCCTTTAGCTCACCACTAAAAATAGGTTTCATGGCTGAGCGGCAGCGCCGGAGGGCAGACAGCCCAGATCCCAAACCAGCCTGTGTCGCCGTGACCAACTGACCCATTTGGCCTCGATTTTTAAGTATTTTTCCCTCCTCGTTCAACTTCAGCCCAGGCAGCAGCCTCGCCGGGATGGCTGAGCCCCCCAAGGGGCAGCGAGACTCTGGTGGGGGGGCCGTGGTCCCTTACCTGCATGGCACAGCATGGCACGGCATGGCACGGCAGGGTCGGTGGTCCCACAGCAGGGGTGGCAGGCAGTGGGCAGCAGCAGGAGCGCCCAGGCCACCTGAAATCAGAGGGCTGCCAGCTCCCACAGCCTCACGCCAACCCTGGGCAGCCTGTGCCCACCCCAGCCCTGCAGCCGGGCATTTGCATCATTTATTTTCTCCTTTAGGGAAGTCGGGGCCCCGGGACAGACAGAAGCTCTCTGATGGGGTCCCACTGCAGGGCAGAGCCCTGGGAGGAGCAGGGGACGTGGTGCAATGGGACCAGGGTTTGTCCCACGGCTGCAGGAGTGGGGCAGGGAGCCAGCGCCAGCCTGCGGGACACCAGGACCACAACCCATTCCCCAGCGCGAAGGACAGGGAGTCCTCTCGCATCTCCCCTCCTGGCACAAGGACCAAAGCAGGAGCACCCTGGGGCTGCCACTGAGCCGTCCCATGTCCCCAAGGTCAGAGGAGCCCCGCGGCCTCTGCGCCAGCCCCCTGGCCCCGTGCCTGCGGCTGGGAGCAGGATGGGGGGTGCAGGCACAGGGATGGGGGATGTGGTGCGGCTGCCAGCAGCTCTCTCCTGGGAGCGCCCTGTGGAGCATGCGATGCAGCAGCCGTCGGTCAGAAATGAAGACAGACCTTTATTTACAGTAACAAACCAAAGGGACAAAAAAAATAAAATACCATGACACTTCCCTCCCCTTCTCCCCAGCCCTTCAGTGGGGCATTTTCCACCCCCCCCCAGCCACGAGCCCTGTCCCTGGGGTGGCGGGATGCGGCCAACGACTGCTGGGGGTCATTTGGCACCAACCACGCCACCCTGCCCCAGCGCCCCCCCGGGACACACGCGGGGTCCGTCACAGCTTGGCACGGCTCCGGGCTCTCCCCAGCTGGGACGGCTGCCCTGGCCCCCGGCTGCAGTCCTGCTGCAGGGACCGGCGAAGGAAAAGCTTCTCGGTCAGTGCAGCAGGGAGGGGAGCGGGCTGTGTGTATTGCACTTGGCTGCCGATCTCAGCACCGAGGAGGGGCTGGCAGGATGCGTCCCATAGCACGGGACCTCGCAGCCTGGCTAAAGGCTTCAGCACCTCCCGGCACCCGGTGGGCTCCCGGCGGGGAGCAAAGCTCTGTATTGCGCGCAGCCCTGGAGGTGTCCCGGGGCGGGAGGATGCTCTGTGCCACCCCCGTGTAAACCAGAGCACTGTCCTGGGGCAGCCCCGGCGCTGGCAGTGGCTGTCCCCAACGCAGGGACCCCGGGGTGGCACCTGCGGGCTCTGTGGGGCACGGGGCGGGTGCTCCTGCTCTCGGCTCAGGTGGCAGGAGGCTCCCATGATCCTCGGCAAACCAGCCCGGCGTGGGGAAGAGGTAGAGCATGACGGGATGGTGGCTGTCCCCGGAGCCCCCGCGGCCCTACGGATTCACCCTTCCCCAGGCAAGACCCGAGCCTGGCTCACCGGCTCCGAGGATGAGGTTTGCAATGGGGGGATATCGCTCTCCTCCTTCACCAGGCTCCGTCTTTCGGCGTTTCACACTGGCTCAGGGACCGGCTGGACCCTTGGCTCCTGTGGGAGAGCCCGGGGGGGGACCCACTCCTGGTCCCCCCGGCCAAGCGCAGCCCCTCAGGAGGAGAAGCAGAGCCCGCAGCACTCCATGCAGATCTCCAGGCAGTCGGCCGACTCGCAGCAGGCGTCGATGATGCCGCAGTCCATGTCGCAGGGCAGGTCGCAGTCCGCGCACTCGCCCGAGTTGCAGCAGCAGCAGCAGATGCAGGAGTCCTCAGAGGTGCAGGAGCCGCAGGTGGCACAGTCCAGCACGATGTTGCAGAGGGTCAGGAACTCGCAGAAGAGGCAGGAGAGGATGCAGTGGACGCAGCAGTCTGCAGAGGAATGGCCAGAGAGTGGCAGGGAGAGGGACGCTGGCACCCACGGCCAGGCTGGGTGAGGCAGTGCCCAATGAATGGATGCGCAGCCCCAAAAGGGTGGAAATCCTCCCTTGGGAATTAATGGAAGGGATGGGAAGAAAGGCTGGGAGCCAGGTACTGCTCCTGGGGCCTCCCTCAATGCCCGGGGACTGACCCTGCTGCTTGGGACGTGCCCAGGCCCCAAGAAAGACCAATTTTGGAGGACATGAGATGAGCCTGCTCAGCACCCACCCTGCAGAAGGCTCCCAGCAGGGGAGCTTGGCTGGCGCCCAGATCCGGGGGTCCCGGTGGGCTGGAAGGATGCTACATGAAAGACCCCAAGGGATGTGGGGTTGGAGGAGAGGGGCTGGAAAAGGACCCCCCCGGGGAGAGCCAGTACCTTCTTGCGCCTCAATAGGGATGTGGGAAGAGGCCGACTTGGAGCTGCCCTTGCTCTTCTTGCTGCTCTGGCTGTTGATGGAGTGGTGCGACTGCAGCTTTCGGTGGGGCTTCTGGGTGCTGGGGAGGGGGCGGAAGACCCCGTTCCCCGCCTCCCCGTTGGCACCGCCTGGATCTGGCCCCCGCCCGGCTCCGTTCTGCAGCAGCTGGGTGCAGGGGCTGGGGGGCCGCCGGGGTGCTCGCACCTGGGGCTGGCCTGGGGGGAGAGCAGCGCGTTACCCCGCCGGCCCCCGAGCCCCCCTGCAGCGCTCTGCTGGGCGAGAAACTCGTGCCCGGTCCCCTGCCACCGCACGGGAGCCTGGTTCCCAGGTGGACACGGGGCGGCCTCGTGGGTGGGATGAAGCGATGCTAACAGATGCATGGTCCAAGAGGATGGAGGTGGAAAAGGAGCTGCAGAAGGGATGGCTGGAGGGAAGGAGATAGGCTCCAGGGAGAGGGGGGGATGAAAAAAGAGCAAGAAATAAAGACTTGTCATGAAGGACGTGCTGCAACTGCCAAAACTCAGCAGAGGACCTGGAGGAGGAGGTCTCCCGGGGTCCCAGCACTGCTGGCATGGGCAGGAGGGATGAAGCCACCGAGTCAACCGGAGTGGGTGCAGAGACGCGCTCGCCTCGTGCCGAGTGGGGAAGAGAAGAGCCTGTGGCTGCTTCCAGCTGAGAGCCACCATTCCATGAGCCACTGTGCCACGAGCCCAGGCCACGGCGCTGCCAGAGGGAGCTCGAGGCCACCCCCATTGCCCTCCATAAAGCCAGAAAAGATGAAGTGCCACCGGAGAGCCGGGCTGCTCATCTCCCCAGGACCGCGCGAATTGGCTGCTTAATTAAAGGGCTCCCCAGCCTCTGGCTGAACTTTTCTGCAGGAGGAGGAAAATAAATATCTGCTCTGTCTGCGCCTCCCTCCAGCCCTTGCGCGCTGCGGCCGTGAGAGAGGCCGGCGGCCCCGCGCCCCGCCGGGATGCTGCCGGAGCCAGCGGCGCAGCTCAGCCCTTTGCTCCTGCCCGGCACCGCGTCCCCACACCACCCTTCTGCGGTGGGGGAGAGGACTGGGAACCCAGCACAAGGGAGGGGGGGCTGGAGCATCCATCCCCCGCCACAGCAACACCAATGAAAGCCACAAATAAAATCCTGCCTGATGGTGCTTTGGCCAAACTTTGATTCTCCTCTCCCACGGCAGTAAACAAGGGATGATTCAGGCGAGAGGCTCGAGGGCCACGGCACCTCCAGCCGCCGGGGAACAGGAGCTGCTTTCTGCGTGGGGTGGCCATGGGGCATGGGGAGACCGACACGGCGGAGGGGGCACAGACCGTCTCTGTCCTGCACCCGCCCTCGCCGGCAAAAAAAAAAAATAGGGGGAGGTTAAAAAAACACAAGTGCAGGGACCCAGTGCCTGGCTCTGCCCGACTGAGCTGGGCTCAGACCGCGGAGGAAACTGAACCGGGTGCTCGGGTGAAACGCTGCGGCTCTGACGCGCGCTGGGAAGGGAACTTAAAATAACCGGAGCTGAAGAGCGGGCTGGAAGCAGGAGGGGTGGGAGAAGGGCAGAAAGGCGAAATGGAAAACAGGTCTTGGACAAAATGGGATATGTAACCCCCTCCAAAAAAAACCTCCCGGGGGAGCTGGCTTCACATGCACCCTTCTCCACTGCCCTTGACTGCCTGTGCCCGAGTGCGTGCACCGAGCTGGAGGGTGACCGCGGTGCCCCAGGGCTGCCCAGAGCCACGGCGGGCAGGGGCCGAGCCCACAGGGACCCGCGCAGCCCGGCCTGGCCCGGCAGCGTCCGACGGCAGCAAATACTCTGCAGCTTCGAGTGCTGGCTTTCTCCGGGGGTTTGCAGCAGCATGCAACGCGCTCACTTTGGCGTTCTCCATTTCGCTGCATTCCTCAGATTAAACTGTTTGTAAATCAAAATCACGCTCCGGCTCCAGCGAGTGGCAGGGGGAGGCAGGCAGAGAGCCAGCCAGTAATCCCCCCCTCCACGTTAGGAAAAATAGCTTCCATTTTTTAGGAGAGACTTCAACTCACAGGGGCCCAAAGCTCTTCTAAAACAGACATCTTCAACCCGAGGCTTAGGTGGAGCAGTGTATAACTCTCCCTAATAACACGGGTGTCAGGGCAGGAGCGGGGGGAGCAGCCCACCCGACGGCCCCCCCCCATCTGTCCACCAGCACCAGGGTGGGAAACCAGGGCTTTGGGGGAAAGCGCCTGCCTTCGCCTCTTCAATGACCAAACCCCTCCTGGACGTTCAGTTTGTGTTTCACACCCACGACGATGCTCCCCGGCACAGCCGCGGTGCTGGCTCAGCTCAGGTTCGCCATGGCGGCATCACCGGGGCTCGGCGGACAGATGCCCAGACCGCAGCGGTCCTCGCCCCGCTGTGACCCCCCGGCCATCGGCTCTGCCAACGGTCGTCTTCCCGAGCCGCTACCAGGGCTTGCACAAACTGGCACGTCGTGGCCGCCTGAGCGGAGTCTGCTCCTCTTGCCTGAAACTCAACACCCAGAGCCCCAAACCCACAATCCCCACTTCGGCTGCTCCCCAACTGCCAAAAGACTGGCTAAGAACCAGGGCAGGCTTCGGCATCAGCGCTGAGCCTCGGGGGAGCTGATCCTGGCAATGCTGGTGAAGGACACGACCCTACACTCGACAGCCCCTTGCTGCCCGGTCCCTCCTGACCTTGCATGTGCCAGACTGGCACGAAAATGCCACCGTCACCCTAACTGTGCGCCCAGGTACTGTCGAAGGGGGAGATTTGCCCCCCACAAGCAATGGTGACCCCCCCATAACAGCAGCGGGAGGATGCACTGCGAGGAGCGGGCTGCACAGCAAGGGATGCCGGAGGCAATGCTCCACAGGGAGCTGAACCTCATTTCCCAGAGAGGAGAGGGGAGGGGGGGGGGGCCCACGGGGGGTGGGCTGGGGAGGGGGCTGCGCGGGGCCGCGCCATGCAGAGTGCAGCAGGCTGCAGCGTGACTCAGAGGTGCAGAATGTCTGTGGGCAGCCGGCCCAGCTCCCAGATGCTTTGCAAGGGCTCGAGCTCTGGTTGAGGAAACGTGTGCTCTCCTCGCTCCACGTACGCCGTCAGGAGCGCCCGGAGTTCGCCGTCCCCTCCCCACCCCGCCTGCCCACTCCTCGAAGTCTGCAGGCTTGTTCCCACCCTCCCTCTCCCCGTTGGGAAGCATCCATCCACTTTACGCCCCTTGGAAGGGAAAGCTGCACGCTCGCATCCAACAAAAGGGGAATGGCTGCGTGCATAAGGGGCAGCCTGGGAGCAAAACCCTCGGATCCAGGCTGGGGTCCAGGGAAAGGACGGACGGTGGGGCTCCGGGAGAGCCTGGCGCCCGGTCTCCCATGTCTGCCAGCTCTGCCCTCCTGCCCCTGCAATGGGAAATGGAGCAAGGGCACCCCGTCCCCCACCTCTGCTCCTACCTCACCCCGGTATTTCTCATGGTGGGGGGACCGGCAGGGCTGCAGCAGCAGAAATGGGGAGGTGCTGCTTGGCTTCACCACTGCCTCCAGCAAAACCAGATCCTCAGTGCAGACAGCCCATCCCGTCCCCTGCTCGTTCAGACTTTGCACCAGCCTAACCCTTGCCCTGGACAGGCCAAGGCAAGAGCTGTCCCAAGGGGAGGCATCTCCCTTTGCTCCAGCAAACAGCTGCTGCACTCCCCTCCTGTGGCTGTGACCACAGAGCCCGCTCTGCTGGGGGCTCTCCTCCCTCCCGCTGTGGCTTTGGGGGATGCTCCATCCAGCAGCCAGCTCCTTCCCGCAGGGGCCAGTCCCTCTTCCCACCACGGCATCCCAGCAGGACCCCAACACGACCGAGAGCTCCGCCAGCCGCCCGCCCTCATCCCGCTCTGCCTCCAGCCACTCCCAAGGACGAGGGCAGCGAGAGGCATCACGGCACTGCTGGATGCTGCCCTTCACTTTCCCCGGCTCCCGGTGACTCAGCTCAGTTAAAGGCTTTTGCTTTGATGTGGGGAAGAGCAGAGCAAGGAGGAGACGGCTTCCCACCACAGCTGCCCACCTTTTTAATGAGCCCTGTTACCGATTAGACAGCAGCGGCCTGAAGCACAGGCACCCGGCGGTGTCCGGAGCTGCACACGCCGCTGTGGAGGGAAACACTCACATGTCACAGCTCCAGGAGCGCCTGCGAGCTCGGCCCGGGGGCCCTTCGTCAGGACTTTTCGGGACTCGTCATCTTCCAGGGGTTTCTCCTTCTTCGGTGCTGCGGGGCTGGCAGGGGAGTGGGTGGGCGGCCGGGGCTCTGCCGACAGTGCCGCTGGCGTCTGCCTCGGCGAAGGGTGCGAGGTCTCACCCACCCCTGCAAGAAAAACGGGGTTGGAGCTGAGCACCCTGGGGTGCACCGTGCCGCGGGCAGAGACCCCAGTCACCCAACCCCACAGCAACCCGCAGCACATCCCCAGCCGCTGCAAACAGCACGGGTCAGTGTTTTGGGACTCTGATTTCGGGCATGGGCCAAATCCAGCTGCCCCTGTTGCTTCTGCAGCCCCGAGTACACAGTGGGGGGAGAGCTGGAGCACTGCGAGGGATTTGGGGCTGCTGGGGATGGGCATCGGGGCTGCACCACTCTGCAGCCACTCACCCCGCTGCAACGCCAGCGGTTCGGCAGCACCCTCCCAAAAACCTTCCTGAGGTCCCACATTCCTTCTGTAAAAAGCCAGGGGATCTGGTTACACTCAGCGGTTCAAGCTGGATTTTTCATCCCCCTTCCCATGAAAGGGCCACTGTCTTCCCTGCGGGAGCCAGCTGCCACCTCCCCTCGCGTTCCTGCTTGCTCTGGGACAGGAGCAGCCCCTGCGAGACCCCCCTCGATGGGGCAAGCAAAACCCAAAATGAGAGCCGCGTTATTCCCTGTGGGGATAAACCCCAGTGCCACACACCCCCTCGCAGAAACCCAGCGAGGAGAAGGCATAACCACCTCCCGCAGGGCCAGCACTGCGGGCTGGGGGCCGGCTTCCCCCCACGGCGGGGGGTCCGGGGGGCTGCGGGTGCCTGGGGGGGCTGCAGCGTGCTCGGTGGGATGGTATGCCCCCCCCCCCACCGCAAGCCCCCTTCTTGCCGCTCCATCCCTCTCCCCAGAACCTGGAATAGCAACCGCTTGCACAACAGGGGCTGGACCGCACTTTATATAAAACTAAATTATAGCTTGGGCGAAGGGAGGGAGACCAGAGACCCATAATTTCCCTGGCTATAACAAGAGGTCCTACACGCAGGCAGGCAAGGGCGGGTGGGGGGGAAGAGAGCCCTTGGACACTTCATTATACTCAATATAACAAGAGGTCCTACAAGCAGGGGCCGGGGAGGAAGGCAGGCAGACCTCACACGTATAATTATAGGGACTATAACAAGAGGCCCTACAAGGGAGGCGGAGGGCCCATCCGCACCCCGGGGTCGGCAGGAGCCTGGACATGCTGCAACCAGCCCGGAGCGATGTTCAGTCGGCTCCCAGCTCCGCTGCGCCCCAAGTGCTCCTCCACCTGCCTCAGTTTCCCCACAGGACCGTCCACTCCACTCTCCGCAGGATGCTGCTCCAGCCCGGGGCATGGAGCTCCTGCGACAGGGGGTTTGCTGGGAAGGACAGCTCATCCCGACAGAGAGCCCTGCTCGTGGCTCTCCTGCAGGACGCTCCCGCAGGCAGGGTGATTTTGGGGCTCAACAAGGGAAATTCAGCAGCTCCAGCTGAATTTTGCACAGCAACGTTGGCTCCAAATCCCAAATGAAGTGGGAGCATGCAGGCCCCAGAAAGGAGAAAACTCATTCCCATGCCCCTGTGAAAGCCCAGGGCAAAACAGAGAGGAGAAGAGAGCAGGCTGTCATCTACCTATAGGTATTTGCACACAGGCGTGGTGTATAGGTGAATAATAACCACATGTTGCTGCATCCACATCCTCTGTCATGTCCCAACCTGGACCGGCCTGAGTCAGACCTGCAGCATTTCGTCAGTGCCTGATCTAAAGCCTGTTAAAGCCAGAGCTGAAAGCCCCATGACTGAGGAGCTCTGGACGAAGCCCTGAGTCAGAGGCGCCTGCTCCAGAGCGCAGAGGGTGCAGCTCCCGTGCGGTTCCCGGGAAGGGATCCGAGCCGCCGGGCATCGGCGTAGCTGGGGAGCGGCTCCGGTTTCTGCTATGAGATGCCCGGAGTGTGCTCAAGGCTTAAAAATCACCAGCCAAGACTTTGGGGTTGCCCAGAGCAGCCCCAGCACCACCAGGTCCCCTGCCCAGCTCTCGCCCCTGAGGTCAGTGCTCCCCTCTGTGGCAAGTGATTTACACTGGGAAAAAGAGCTGGAAAATCAGGTGCTGCAGTGGGAGAAGGGCTGGCAGCTGCTCTGTGCACAGGGAGAGCTCCAGCTGCCCGTGCCTCTGCCATGGCCACGCTGTGCTGCCTCCATCACATCCTTGCTCCCGAGGGGCTGAGGACAGGGACGGTCTGTTTAGACCCTGAGCTCTGCGAGAAAGCAGCGGCACTGGGCCGTATGGACGGCGAGAGTGCTGGTCCGCCAGCGATTGAGACAAGGCTCATTTTTGCCATGTCCGCTTCACCCATATAATTACCCTGCACAACAAGAGGTCTCACACACAACCACAGCCATGCAGGGAGGAAGACAGCAATTAAATTAACTCCCACTGGAACAAGCTGGCCAGAAGAGAGACAAACATAGTCAGGAAAGAAATTTGGGTAAGCTGGTTCCCTGCCTTATACAGCATCGCTTCCCTGTTGCTGCACGTCCGCGGGGAGCGTACAGACAGCGCTGACCCCCAAGTGCATGGCATCCCCTGGGAATGGGATGGAGAAGGGCTGTGTCTGCCCCCGTGGTCCAGCCTGACCCCGGGGCAGGGCTGGGGCAGCCGGACACGCGTGGGCTCAGCACAAACCCTGCAGGCCCCTGCCCCACAGCTCCCTGCCCGCGCTGCCGGTTTGCTGGGGCTGGGCACCTCCCAGGCACCTTCCGACCCACCGGGAAATGCAGTGGGAATGCACAGGGAAATGCTCGTGTGCTGGGTGTGCACAAGCACCACAGCTCCCAAACAAGCCTGGCAAAATGCACCCAAGGAAGAGGCATCACCCCTGACGGCACAGGCAGAGATGGACAGACGGACGCCCTGCACTGGCACAGCCGCTGGGGCACAGGCTCATCCTGCAGCTGCCCAGCTCCCCCTCCTCTTTAAATACCCCCGCAGGGTTGCTCAGGCTGCTCGGCCTGGCATTGCTGGGCACCTCCTGCAGACCAGGACGGGCACCCGCACGCACATGCGGCTCCGCAGGGGTCCCGTGCAGAAGATAACCCCTCGCCCCCTTGGCTGCGTGCCCTCATCGCTCCTGCAAACACTCGCTTTGGGGCACAAAGCCCCCGGAGAGGGGTTGCTGCTCCCCAAACCACCAAAGCTGAGCAGAGAGGGTGAGCAGGTAAAGAGGCGTGGGGAGGAGCAGCTCTGTCCCCCCATCACTGGGGTCTGGCAGGGGTCCTCCGCAAGGTGAGGCCACCCCGGGGGTCCCCTGTCCCTGCTGCCACCAGGGCAGGGACTGGCTCCTTCCCTCCCTTGCTATTGCCAGGACAAGACCAGGCTCAACCTAAATCTGCCAGGTTTAAAAGCAACCGCAAGCCTGGACAAAATGCAGACAAAGCCCTAAGGAGAGCCAGCCCTCGGGATGGGACATCCATCCCCTTCCCCGCCTGCCCCCCGCAGCAGCTGCATCCCCAGCCCCTTCCCGGCCAGGGCAAACGCTCATCGCGTGGCGGAGAAACAGCCTGGGATGAGTCCAGGCCTCCGCTCCCCCATTCTGCACCACCTTTTGTAAAATACAAGGGAGAAATGAAGGTACCGTGGCACAGGGAGAGCGGCTCACATGTTTTGCTTATGAGAACAGAGATAATAAGGCATTTAAAAATAATAAGCCAGGCTTCAGTAAATCACAGCGCTGCCGTAAGGTACAACAGATTAGGAAGCCGATAGACATGGAGCTGCTTTCTTTGCCTCCTGGTTGCCAAGCCCGGGAGATGCACACAGGTCAGGTTTTCTGACTGTTCTCCCCATTTACAAAGTCCAAATCCACCCATCGTAAAAGCCCCAAGATGTCCCTGAGCTCCAAAGTCCACCAAGCACTGCGAGATTTGAGAAAAAAGGAGGGAGGAGAGGAAAGATAGAAAGAAGCCATAAGGTTTCATCAGCTTTAACCGAGTATCTTGTAATACTCCTGCAAAGTCAAATGTACAAAACATCCCTCCGGGAGCCCTGGCTGTGGGAAGGACCCACTTTGCATCACCGGTGTCTGCAGGAGCTTCTGGGGCAACCACCAGACGTTGTCCTGATTAGGGGAAAAAGCGTTTGTGCTTTGGGTGGGAGGCGTGCTTAATTCCCGATGAGCTTGCAGGACTGACCCATCCCCGAAAAGCTGGCCAAACAAAAGGCAAGAGCAGCGTCAGCAGCTGGTGAGAGCGCCCGGCCGCGCCGAGCAGGACGGGGCAGAGTGGCTCCGGCAGCACAAACAGGAGCGGTGCCACAGGCAGCATGGCCACAGCACCTCACGGCTCGCAGGGACCTGCGGGTTTCCTTCTCTGCAGCCGGCTGTGGTGCCCAGGCCCCCAGCTGGGAAGGCACGGAGGATGTGGGAAGAGGCAAAGCTGGAGCCACACTTCTGGGTCAAAGCCACCCAGGTTGTCCCACGGCTCCTGCTCAGCTTTCCTGAGCTGTAGCGTAATGCAAGAGATGATCTGCCTGGCTGCTCGGGATCTCCAGTTTATCTGCCCCTCTTCTATCCAAGTGCCTTTGGCTCAAGAGGAAGAAATCTGGTGGTGGGAGAAGGATGGACACCCCACCGGCATGGCACCTACCCATCACCGCTGCCCCACACGCGGCTGCATGCCAGCGACGGGCAGCACGGGAGGGAAAAATGCCTCCAACACCGAGCAGCTAAAGACAGGCTTGGACCAGGGAGCTCAGAAGCAATCCCGCCTCTTTCGCAGGCAGTGTGCTTGGCTTTAGGTGGTGTCAGCCCGTTGCAAAAGGGAGGGCGAAGGGTCTCGACACATCTGGATCCACATCTGAGTTCCTCCGGACCTGAAGAGCATCCAAACCTAACACTGTGGGTCGCAACTCCTGCCGATGCGGACATGCTCAGGAGAGCCTCCCGTCCCCCTTCTCTCTCCCGTTAATCCCTCAGGAATGGCTGGTCAGGGACAAGATAATGTTGGATGGAGACACAAACAGAGACAGTCTAGCGAGGCATTTGCCATTAACAACACGCTACCTTGCAGCAATATTTAGTTTGGGAGCTTTCTAATCTGTTTTATGCAGATAAAATGAGTGTGTAATCTCTCTTGGTTTCCCCACACAGGCTGCCTGGCCCAATCAGGTGCCTGTCTGACCTATGCAGGGGATATTTTAGAGCTTGATTAAGTGGTTTCAAGTGCAGAAGAGACGGCACTGAAGCAAATCCTTCCAATCCCACGAGCCAGGCTGGAGGAGAGGAAAGCAAAATTCTGGTTTGAAAGTTTGCTCAACTGGGAAAAATCCAAATGGCTTATTTACATTCAGTCTGAAATTAATGCACTGAAGCATTTTCAGATTCTATGATATTAAGGGAAAGGAAAAGGAGGGCGGGAGGGGCAGGAGGAGAAATGCCCAGAGCTCCTGAGCACGCCCGGGACG